CACACACACACACACACACACACACACACACACACACACACACACACACACACACACACACACACACACACACACACACACACACACACGCACACACACGCACACGCACACACACGCACACGCACACACACGCACACACACGCACACACATATATCAAGATGATTTTATCAAATGATTATCGATGTTTAAATGTATTTTTGGTTCCTCAAGTAAAATAGTTGTATGATTTTAGCTCTTTAAATTTTAATTGAGCAATTGTAGTTTTTTTTTATTTATAAATATCATAGTTGTATAATTTAGAACTCTTAATTTTTAATTGAATAATTTCAATCCTTAAAGTATCACAATTGTGTGATTTTAGTTTATAAAATATCACAACAATATAAATTTTTACCTATTCAAGTTACATATATTAGTAGATTTTAGTAATAATAAATATTTCATTTAATACACTGATTAAAATAACAATACATATAACTTAATAAGAAAAAAATATATAACTATGATACTTGAAAAACTAAAATTATTTAATTAAAATTTGAACAACGAAAATCATATAATTACAATAATTGATGAACTAAAATTATTTAATTAGAATTTTAGGATTAAAATTGTACAATTATAGTACTAAAAGGATAAAAAAAATTGCAATTAAACCTTATATCAATTATAAAAAATAAGTTTTCTGTTTAAATATGTTAGACAAAAATGTTTTTTCCCCTTCTTATATTCGTTTTTTGAGAGATGTTTTTATACAAATATAAATAAATGATGAAAAGTTAGTTGTAATAAAGAATATGTTTTTGACCATCTGTTATATGGGATTTTTGTCTCCATTCAATAGTGTATTTTTCTTTTTTGTGATTTTATGTTTTAGACTTTAAGTCTTGTTTATTAAAAAAAATTGTAATATTAAACTTTATATATAAATTAGTTAACTATTACAGGGACAAAATGAGAAAATATTTAATTAAAATATTTATTATTTTGAATCTTAAACTTGAAATTTTGCTTATTCTCAAACGTATATTTATATTCGTTGAGATTACGAACTTTTAATGATATTCCTAATTAGATCTTACTCAAATATTTTTCGAAGAATTTTCTTAATCAATCAATTAACATAAGAAGATATTGTTGACAATTTTTTTTTCTTCACAAAAACTCTTCACTCCGATTCTTTTTAAACAAAATTTAATAAATGGAAAAATATTTTTCTGATCTAACTTGCCAATCACATTTAAATGGTAACACTAATTACTTTTTCTACCAATCAGTTAATTAAATTATAATATTTTAAAATAACCCAATTCATATAGTAAGGATTAAGGAACATCAATTTATTATAACAAAAAATTACATGTTTTTAATTTTCAAAGATACACCACGGAAAAAGTAATAAAATAAAATAAAATTTGATGAAGGGGAGGGAAAAGTCGAGGATTTGGGCGCGCAATTAAATCTGAAAAGCAAAAAAAAATTATCAGTTCTGAGAAAACGCATCTCATCCGTCCATCTATTCGCTCCTCAATCGCCAGGTCATCAATCCGCGCATCCCAGTCAAGTCAATTTTAAATCGTGTCCGTTCATTTTCAAATGTTTTTGACGCATGTAACAATTCGACAGAAAAAAAAAAAAAGAGACCCACGTCATCGATCTGCGCCAAAGCCCCGTAGCCAATGAGAACGCGAAAACCTTTTCCTATATTAATCCCCCATTCTCCGCTCACATCTTCAACCGCTCTACGCTAATTCCAAATTCCCAAATCAAAACCCTAATTCGAATTGAGTGTTAGCGATGGCACCAAAGCCAGAGAAGAAGCCAGCGGAGAAGAAGCCCTCGGAGGAGAAGAAGTCGACGGTGGCAGAGAAGGCTCCAGCGGCGGAGAAGAAGCCAAAGGCAGGGAAGAAGCTGCCGAAGGAGGGAGGAGCTGGCGGAGACAAGAAGAAGAAGAGAAGCAAGAAGAGTGTGGAGACATACAAAATCTACATCTTCAAGGTTCTGAAGCAGGTTCACCCAGACATTGGTATCTCAAGCAAGGCCATGGGAATCATGAACAGCTTCATCAACGACATCTTCGAGAAGCTTGCTCAGGAATCTTCTAGACTTGCCCGCTACAACAAGAAGCCAACCATCACTTCAAGGGAGATCCAGACCGCGGTCAGGCTTGTGCTGCCCGGAGAATTGGCCAAACACGCCGTCTCCGAAGGTACCAAGGCCGTCACAAAGTTCACTAGCTCTTGAACTAACAACCCATTAAACTTGGTCTATGTATCAATTTACGTGTTATGACTTGTGTTTAGATTTTTTGTCAGTATATTTGCCGTTTTTATTTGTAATTGTTGACATGTGGTCGTGGTTATCCTTTTGTGAAATGAAAAGGGAATATTGATTATATGTATATGTTTGGTTATTATGTTAAGTTGAGTAAAAATGAGTGGTAAAAAATTAATCAAGAGATTTAAAATTCAGGCTTAATTGCTTGAGTTTCATAATTTTGGAAATAATTTAAGAATTCACTATAATGAATCAGCATACAAAGAGTATGTCCTTTTTCCCAGCTTGCAGTGATGCCAATGGGATTCACTCTTTCAAATATACCAAATACAAAAGCTTTTTCGCCTTTTCAAAAATTTGTAATTTTTCAATTTCAAGTTGAACACAGTCAACAGTTACAGTCATGGCTGGAGTATCAAATGTTACAACCATGAATTGTCTGATGAGTAGTTTGACAGGCTTGGGTTACCCTGTGTGCTTAACTCAGCCGAATGCGTCTGCCATCCAGTTTCTGAGAAATGATAAGGAATAAGGTAATATAACGATGTCAGTTGAATTAAAAGTAACATTTTGTAGACTGCGATATATGCAAGTGAATTCATATTAACTGAATTTAAAAAAAAAACCTGTCCATTCATTTCTTTACGAGCTGTAGAAGCTGCACACGAATCCATACCCTCTTGATTTCCTAGTCACATGATCACATATTACTTTAACTGCATAAGATAAAATAAATTGGTTGCAACATAATTTCATAACCAATTTGGTAACCTAGAATACAACGAATAGACCTTCGACTAAACCTTCAATGATTTCACCGTGTTGCGCAAAGGTGTCTCTGAGAACTGGTTCATTGGTATCGTAAGAAAGCCCTTCATTCCAAAAACAAAACAAAATACTAACAGTTAAAAATGAAAATCTGAGATGAATTATTAAAACTCAAACAGTGCAATTATTTAGTGTTGAAAGTAAAAGAAAGGACAAATGAAAGTTGTAGAAGACCTGCCACAAACAACTTGGTTGATGAATGATGGCGCGCATAGAAATTGAGATAAAGGGATAAGAAGAGTGCTGCCATTAGCTAGTGCACTGGTTCATTGGTATCGTAAGAAAGCCCTTCATTCCAAAACAAAACAAAATACTAACAGTTAAAAATGAAAATCTGAGATGAATTATTAAAACTCAAACAGTGCAATTATTTAGTGATGAAAGTAAAAGAAAGGACAAATGAAAGTTGTAACAGACCTGTCACAAACAACTTGGTTGATGAATGATGGCGCGCACATAGAAATTGAGATAAAGGGATAAGAAGAGTGATGCCATTAGCTAGTGCACTCGTTATACGCATATCTCTGAACTCTCAATGTATACCTGAAACACAGCATTTTCTACACGCTAGGGGAGAACCGGCGAGCCATTTTGAATACAGTTCTTCTAAGCCATCCCTTTCCC